GAAGCCTTGAGTCCAGTCATGAATTTATGCCAGGCACAAAAGGTCATAAATATTTAGATAAGTTGGGCATATTCCTCTCCTCTTGAGGTTCTATGATAACTTGGGGTTCCTAAGCCTGTCAGAATGTGACATTCATTACTCACCGCAGGCCAGGAAACTTGTCCAGGGACTCCGTAGACAAGGTATGAGGCCAGTTTTTCTAAGGGGCTTTTATTGGCTTTGTAATTCAACTTTGACTCCTTAAAGTATGTGTTTGTATTTGAAAGCATGCCTTGGTAAAATAAGCAGCATCTCCACTCATTTTCTGTTACAAAAGAAAACAGATTCTTATTGCACTTATGCAAATAACTATACTGCCATAAGTTGAGACTACTCAAAAACAGTTTCTAAACCCTGAAGAAGTCAGGTAGAGAGAAAGCACTATGCTAATTTTGCTTACAGGAGTATGCTCAGATTGCTGAAAGTTGTAAATAACTCAAAAAGTTCTTTTGACTCTGAAAAACAAAAGGATTAGCAATGTTTAACATATCTTCCCATGAGAGTTTTAGAAGTTTGTTGTTTTGTTTCTCTCTATTCACAATTTTTTAATTAATTAATTTTTAAGACAGAGTCTTGCTCTGCCACCCAGGCTGGAGTGTAGTAATGCGATCTTGGCTCACTGCAGCCTCCACCTGCTGAATTCAAGCAATTCTCTTGCCTCAGCTTCCTGCGTAGCTGGGATTACAGCCACATGCCACCACCCCTGGCCTGTTTTGTATTTCTGGTAGAGAACATGTTCACCATGTTGGCCAGGCTGGTCTCGAACTCCTGGCCTCAAGTGATCTCCCCGCCTTGGCCTTCCAAAGTACTTGAATTACAGGCGTGAGCCACCATGCCCAACTCACAATTTTTAAAGTTGTCAAGAGATGCATACAAGAGTACCCTTCAGCATTCCATATCTAATTATAAACCACCTTTTGAGAAGGATTAAAACAAGACAACGATTGTCTGTGGGTGACAAAAGTCTCAGGACTGGCATAGTTAGTAGGTAATCAAGGAAATTTGGTCATCTCTATGACACAGCAATTTAACGTAAGACTTATAATTATTACTGATAACATATGCTGAGACACAGTTATAGGAATCTTATGCAATAACATATTTATATGAATATAACCCAAAGTTAAACACCATTTTATAATTCACAATGCTTTCTATATGGTTTTAATACATCACATAAGCTGCCTTTTTTTTAAGCTTAGAATTTGATATTGGAAAGTTTGTCAAATATGAAAGGCTTAAAACACTGACTATCCCAAAACAGAATCCCAGGTCAGTGTAAGTCATTCATTTAGCCAAAAATGATAACTCAAAAATTTTAAAAAGGGAAAAACCGTTACTCTGATAGAAGATTTAGCTTTCCGAACAAAATTCAGTAGAAATAGCATGAGGCCAACTACATTTGTCACTTCTCTCTCCCCTCCTTTTTGTTTTAATTTACTCAAAAGGCAAACAAATCTTTTATTGTCTCTCAATATTACATAAAAATCTTTTTAAAGAGAAAATCAAATTTTATTTTTGCATTAATGCATCTTTAATTCTAAAGCCACTTTTTAATAAAATGTTATGAATCTATCTAGTTTTAATTGAGTATGAAGTAAGATTTTCATAACTATTTATAACTCTCTTTTTTTCCTTGTTGAAGAACAGATCAATGTTCAAAAAAGCCCTATTATTTTCACATATGGGCCCTGTTTCATTGTGCTTTTAATATTTAATTTATGGAAGAAATAAATAATACCCTTTTAATTTTTGTCAACTTGCTTACACACAGAATTCTTTACAAAGTTAATTTTCATAAACTTCCTATAACTTGCTTACACTTTATTTTCTTCCAACTAAAAATAATTCTTTTACTTTGTAAATTAGACAACACTTGGTTTTTTTAAAAACCATATTCCCATGCCTTTTAAAAATCAAAGCCCCCCCTTTTTTTTGTGTGTGTGTGTGTGTAAGCAGTTTTAGTTACGTACCAGGTGCATAGTCTAGGATACAAGACAGAACTGCACATACAGTCTGACTCTTTCCAGCACAGCTAGGAGGCATGGCTAACTCTACCTGACCCCAGGCCTTACCTAGAAATCTAATGGCTTCAAACCAGGTAAACTGGACAATTTTCCACAGTCAAAGAAGCAGTTTATGACATTAAAGCACTTAGCAAATTTAACCTCTGACTTAATTTAGACCCAATGTCTAAATTTTGAAGACATTTTCATTTTACCAATAATTTTAAAACTGTATTTCCCAAAGATTACTGAAGTCACATGAACTAAAAGGCATTAGAGTTTCTATTTTTCTGACAAAATATGTAAGAGCCTTCATTTCCTTTGAAGCCAATTAATTAGAGCTCCTTTATGCAAACATCACTCCATACTTGTAGACAGGAGACGATCTAGCAGTTGTAAGTTTTCTTTTCCATTTTATGCATTTCTGACTTGTCCTGATTTCCCTCTTTTCTAAATAATTAGTCCTTCTACTTTAGGACAAGAATTGGTCATACAAGATCCTTTCTCATATAAAATTTCTTTCTTTCATAACCTTTCTTACCATAAATGCATCTTCATATCCACAGCTTTTGTTAGCTCTCTTCTCACTGCTAATTTCTGATGCCTGCCCACATCAAAAAGGTCAGGTAAAGCGAGGCAAAACTGAGCACAGCTTTAAGTTTTGAGAGGGACCTTTCTGCTTACACTTCCTGGGATTCCATGAGGAAAACAGAGGTTTCTCCTAAAATGGGGTCTGTAGCACCTTCTGTTTTTCCAAAGAGTCCCAGGTCTGTCAGAAATTACCTTATGTCCTCTTGTGTGGGCATCAAGAGTGGCAACAAGAAAGATTAGGGAAACAATTCAGTCAACTGGAAAAAAACCCAAAAACTTAGTACTGTCCCCATTGTAAAGATGGATAAACTGAGGCACCATGCAGTTTAAAAATTCATGTTCACATAGAGTTAAGCTCCACAGCTCACTCTCTTAACTATCCTGTAATTCTGCCGACTCTATGCCCAGTCACTGATGCACCTGTATGGTAGCTCATGGCTCCCTTACAGCTTAGAACCTGGGTTTCATTCCTGCTCTACAGCTAGATAGTTTAACAATTTTTCCTCTGAATTTGTTGTATTCTAACACTATATAATTCAAATTGTATTAATATTACTGAACCTTACAGGGGGCTGTGATGTCTTCAGTCTTTAGAAATATTAAACAGCCTATAAACAAAGGACTATATGTTAAAGAGTATTCAAGTTTCTATGTACTTTAAAACTGAGGCAATGTGTTGAGAAACACACCTAAGAAACTGCAACCAATCTACTCTGGACAAAAATTTAGACATGATCTCTTCAAAATAAGCTATCTAGTTGTACTTATGCATATACTCCCATATATTGACAGTATTAAAAACAATTTAAAAGTGTCAAAATTATAGGCCTTATGCATTTCTGTGGGCTTGAAAAATGTGATACAATATAGATTTTTTAAAGTAGTCAATAAAATGCATAAACTTCTAGAGTAATCACTGAAAATGAAAATAAGGAAAAGAAAAAAGTTCATAACAAAGGTAGTAATACTAGGAATAAAAGAGGGCTCAACATTAATAAAGCCTTGTTTTTGGTTGTGAATCTTGGCCTAAAAACATTATACACTATCCTCCCCTTCCTTTTCCTGTTGCAAAGATGTAGTTATGAACCAGGTTTGCTCATGTGGATGACAATACTCCTGAAAATGGTGGCAGAGAATTAATATGAAGGGAGTATGGTTCACCTAATGATCTCATAAATTGGAACTTCTTACCCCTCTGCCTCTTGCATATCTCCAGACTACTATGTGAGAGAGATGAAATGGCTGTTTCTACCAGCATTTTATTTGATGCTTCGTTTATTGAGTTCCTGAATAACTACTTTCAACACGTTAACAGGATCATGAAAGCATAGCTACTCAAGCAGCTAAATAATTATGCAAATAACTTTTTTCCTCATCTCTAAAACATGATAATGGACAGACTATTTTTAAAAGACAACACAGTAACAAGTAGTTTATTCTTAAAACTCAGTTTTGGTTTGTTGTTAAGGCTATAGCTTGGGGAAAAGGAAACAAGAGGAGGAGGAAGAAGAAGATGATGATAAGGAGAAGAAAACACAGACTGGAAGGAAGGAAAAAGAACACGTGAGGGAATCAGAAGGCCTATTATGATGCCTTTTTTTCCCTCCCTGATTCATGAAATTTGAGTAAGTCCGATATCAACCAAAAAAAAAAAAAAAAAAAAAAAAAAAAAAAAAAAAAAAAATAGTCACCCCCTAAAATTTGATAAGAGATAATGCCAAGGCAGGTGGATCACCTGAGGTCAGGAGTTCATGACCAGCCTGGCCAACGTGATGAAACCCTGTCTCTACTAAAAATATAAAAATTAGCTGGATGCAGTGGCACTCGCCTGTAGTCCCAACTACTCTGGAGGCTGAGGCAGAAGAATCGCTTGAACCCAGGAGACAGAGGTTGCAGTGAGCTGAGATAGTGCCACTGAACTCCAACCTGGGTGACAGAGCGAGACTCCCCATCTCAGAAAAAAAAAAAAAAAAGTGAGATAATGCTGCTACTCACACCTGGCTGAAGCACCAGCAGGAGGAGGGCGCCCTGCAGAGACTGCAGGAGAAGGAGGACTCCTCTTTCTTGCCCTGGCTGTTCCTCCACCACTTCCACCGAGACTGTGATACAGCACCCAAAGCTTCCTACCCACCCGAAGCATCCTATCCATCCAAGGCCTGGCAGGGCAGGACCCGCAGGCAGGACCCGCAGGGCTCCTACTCCCCATTCCCGGCCTGCGGCCTTGCTGCTGCTGCTGCTGCTGCCACCACTAGCGCTGATGCCAGTACAACCACTGCTGCTGCCCTCAATGCACTGGCCTACCCTACAATGCTCCTACCACCTGGCCACTGCCCAGCCAAGCCCTTGCTGTGGCCGCAGCTAGCCGCCCTCCTACCGCTCAGGCGCACTGCAGTTCTTGTAGCTGCCACCAACCCCAACAAGGCAAGCCGCAGCCCCAGGCCATCTGCAGGCTCCAGCCTCCAGCATGCAGCATGCGGGTGACTCCTCCTTCTCCTGGCATGGAACAGCTGGGCGGGCAAAGCCAGAAAAGCCTAGAGGAGGATTCAGGGAGTAGCAACAGTAGAGCCTCACCTTGTCATGCTGGCCACTGGGTGGCATGGGCCGGTTTCAGTGAAGGCGCTCATACCCACCCACCAAAGTCCAGCCTCTCCTTTTGGCCCAAGCTGGCCAGGAACTGGGGCCTGGAGTGGGGACTGGAAACACCACATTGCCCGGCTCCCCAATCCACAGGAACCGCTGGGCCCACCAGGGCTTGCACTCCGTAGGGAGCCAAACCAGCAGGAACTGAGACCCAGCCAACCCTCCCACCCAAGTGCTGTTCCCGATCCTGACGCCTCCACGCACAGGGCCCTGTCCCCGCGTGGTGTCCGCTACTCCGTGTCTGGCGTTCCCAGGGGTCCCAGGCGGTCTCTGCAACACAGACAGAGAGGACGCAGGCCTGGGAACCGCGGCGGGTGTGGGGGCCCTGCCGTGCTCAGGATTCCCGTGGAAACGTTGCGCACTCGCGGCACCGGAGCAGGAGCAGGAGGAGGTCGCCCTCTGGAGTCTGGAGTCTAGGGAGAGGAGGAGCCTCCTTTCTTGGAGACCACAGGCAGCCGCCACCTCTGCCCCTGCTGGCAGGGCAGCCCGATAGCGCCCCGACACCCCCGCTTCTTGCAGCGCAGAGTAGCAGCCGACAGCACCCCAACCCGTCCCTGCGTGGAACATTGCAGCACCGGATAGCGCCCCAGCCGGGGACATTGCAGCACCAGATAGCGCCCCAGCCGGGGACATTGCAGCACCGGATAGCGCCCCAGGCGGGGACATTGCAGCACCGGATAGCGCCCCAGGCGGGGACATTGCAGCACCGGATAGCGCCCCAGGCGGGGACGTTGCAGCACCGGATAGCGCCCCAGCCGGGGACGTTGCAGCACCGGATAGCGCCCCAGCCGGGGACGTTGCAGCACCGGATAGAGCCCCAGCCGGGGACGTTGCAGCACCGGATAGCGCCCCAGCCGGGGACGTTGCAGCACCGGATAGCGCCCCAGCCGGGGACGTTGCAGCACCGGATAGAGCCCCAGCCGGGGACGTTGCAGCACCGGATAGCGCCCCAGCCGGGGACGTTGCAGCACCGGATAGCGCCCAGCCTGCTCCTACTGTGGGCAGCAGCAGCCCGGATAGTCCCGGAACCCGCCGCTCGCTGCCGTGAGCCACGCAGCCGTGGGTAGGACCCCCAACCAGCTCCCCGCTGAGGGCAGTGACGCCCCAGCAGTGATGTCCCAGAGAGCTACAACCTGCTCCCCACTGTGAAAAGTGCAGCCACGGATCCTTAGGGCCCCCAACCCGCTTCCCACGATGGGCAGTGCAGCCCCGGACAGTGGATAGCACCCCCAGCCACTCCCCAGCCATGGAGAATGAGGCCCCGGATAGTGTACCCAACCTGCACCCCACCGCGAGCGGTGTAGCCCCCGATAGCGCCCCTAACCAGTCCCACTGTCAGCAGTGTAGTCCCAAGAGCGCGACAAACCCGACCCCTGCCGCAGGCAATGCAGCAGCTGATGGTGCCTGTAACTGGCCCCCACTGACCGCAGCGCAGCCCCCGACGGTGCCCAGAACCCACCCCACCACCCTGCGACGGGTATCGCCCCAAACCCCCTCTTGCCGTGGGAAGTGTAGCCCCCGATAGTGCACCCAACCCGGCCTCTCTTCATGGGCAGTCTGGTCCCCGATAGCCACCACCGAATCCCGCCCCCCACACCTCCCCGCACTGGCCACTCTTATTCTCTTGTTTGTTTTTTGGTTGTTTTGTGGCCTTCTCTTCCTTTTTTTTTTTTTTTTCCCTTCCTGTCTTCCTCTTAGTGAAAGTGATTTTCCCTAAAATGATATATTTTTTTTTTGCTTTTCACTTTTTATTTATCCTTTGTATGTTTTTGATTTGAGGTTACTATGAGGTGGTCCCATAAAATTATAATGGAGCTAAAAAATTCCTATGACTTAGTGATGTCCTAGCCTTGGTAAGGTCATAGTGCAGCACGTTACTTCACATGTTTGTGGTGCTGTTGATGTAAACAAACCTGCTGTGCTGCCAGTCATATAAAATCTAGCACATGCGATTTTGCACAGTACAGTACTGGCATTGTGCTAGTGGTGGCAGCAACAGCAAGTCTAGGGTCTGGGAAGGGGGAGTAGGAACTCTGCAGGGCCCACCCGGTGGTGTCAGTCTGTTAGTTTTTAACAAAAAACATTAAAAAGTAAAAAAAGATAAAACATTTTTATAATAGAAAAAAGCTTACAGAATGAGGATATAAAGAAACAAATATTTTTTACAGCTGTACAATGTATTTGTGTTTTAAGCAAAGTGTCATTACAAAAGAGTCACGTTTAAAAAAATGGAAAAATTTATAAAGTAAAACCGTTACAGTACGGTAGGGTGAGTTTATTACTGAAGAAAGAAAATTTTAAAAAACAAACGTAGTGTAGCCTAAGTATGCAGTGTTCATAAGGTCTGTAGTCGTTTACATGATGTCCTGGGCCTTCCCACTCACTCCCTGCTCGCTCTCTGACTCTCCCAGAGCAACTGCCAGTCTTGCAAGCTCTATTAATAGTTATTACCCTCTACAGGTATTTTATTTTCCCATGTCTATACTGTACCTTTTCTATGTTTAGAGCCCAGATACTTACCATTATGTTACGGTTTCCTGTAGTACTCAGTACAGTCACACGCTGTCCAGGTTTGTAGCCCGGGAGCAATAGGCAATACCACATAGCCTAAGTGTGTAGTAGATTCTACTCTGTTTGTGTAAGTACACTCTGTGATGTTCACACAATGACAAAATCACCTAATGATGCATTTCTCAGAAGGCATCCCCGTCGTTAGGCGATGCATGATTGTAATTTGATTAAAGTTTCATAGTAAGTGGAAGGACTGGTACCCAGGCCTGGCCAACCCCCAAAGCCCATGCTCTTAATTAGCCACTTTACTGCCTTTTTAGTTCAGGAAATTCACTAAAATCTCAACTGGTTATGCCAATTTTTGATCAACTGGATTTCTTCTTGTTGTAAACATTTAAAAAGGAAAATAATAGGATGGCAATTTGATAATGAAGTTGCTTAGCAAGTCAGTTCTGGTATCAGCTGTGAGTGCTACAAATTGAGAGGAGATCAGACTGAGAGGGTCCCGGGCTGTTCAGAGCCAGCCTGGCTACATCAGAGGCTGAAGACGGTGTAACTGGACTAAAGACAGATGCCAGAGACAGTAAAACTGGGACTAATGGGAACAGATAAGGGCACAAGAGAACTCCAGAACAAAGCAACAGTGCATGAGCCCAACATGTTTGCCACCCAGGAGTTCAAACTGTGGCTGACCTCTCCCAGCGCTCAGCACAAATTATAGATCAGGAAGTCAGATGGGCAGGCAAGTTCACCCAGCCATGGAGTGGCCTTACCAGTAGCTCATGGCCCCATCCAAAGATTCCAGACATGATTCCTATTAGGCAACAGGTTCAAATGACCCAACAAATAGCATTCAGCATCTGCCATGTGTAAGGCACCCCTTTAGAGTGTGGGTGCCAGGAAGAATGGAACAGGGCCTTAACTGCCAAGAACATCCAGCCAGAGGGCACAGATAACCCAATGTCCTTCGCCGGCCACAGCATGGAGCAGGTCCCCAGGAACCTTGCTGGGAATGGTAGTGCCTGCCATTGCCTCCTCCCCACCACACTCCTCAGCATCAGGTGGTTTTCTGTTTCCAGGGCACAGCCTGGGCCTCCCCTGTGTGCCCTGAACTGAGGATGTCTTTTCCTACCTGTAAAACTCATCACATCCTTCATAATCACCTGGAAAGCTGTCTCCGTGGGGAAGCCTCCTCCCCACTGCCTTATATTCTGCTGCCGTGCATTGGGAGCTTGCTAATTTGTCCTGTCCATCAGACAGTAGGGTCCTCAAAAGCAGGCACATCCATTTTCCCCAGAGCCTGGCATTTATTGAGTGCCTGTGTGGACCAGATGCCGGGTTAGGTGCTTTATATATATTATCTATATTATAATTTCCCTTCTCCATACATGAGGAAACAAAGGCTCAGAGAGGTTAACTTGAGCAAGGCACACAGGTGCTAAGTCCATCTGACCCTTTCCACTCAATGACCCTGACTCACGCGTAATGAGCCTTCCACAAGTGTTAAAAGAATGAATAACAGCAAGTAGGAGGCTGGACCTGACAGGAAAGTGGAGTCAGAGAGTGACTACTAAATGAAATCCTAGAAAGTGCTTGCAGGTGGTGAGCCCTCAGGAAAACAGCCAAATCTACCTTTAACATGGAAGAGTTATGTTTTCTTAGTCTGTTCCTTATTTACAAATGTTCTCTTCTTCTCTTTGTCCTACAGCTATCTTTTTCTCATTCATTCATTTACTCATTCAAAAGATATTGTCTACCACATACCAGATAGTATTTTAAATGCTGAGAATTTAGCAATACACAAAATCAATCTCTGCTCATCTTGAGTTTTATGTCTTGTGTCTGTGTGTGTGTAAAAGGCAGAGAGAGAGAGAGAGAGAGAGAGAGAGAGAGAATGTGGCATATCATACAGTAGCAAGTGCTAAGAAGAAAATCAAGCAGGCTAAGGACACAGAGCTGGGAGCTGCTATTTTATACAGGGTGTCTTGGGATCAGGGATAAAGTACAGGAATGGAAGCATTTCCAGCTAAAACACAGAATATGTTTTCCTAGACTGACTGAAAGTTACCCAATTAGATCAAGAAGAGCAGCCGAGGTGACACAAGACTCTCCCAGCTTCATGATCAGCCCCCAACCCAAGTTCTCACTGAAGTCCAGAAGAGTGACCAAAGAAACTGTGTGTTTCAAAGTAAGTGGAGTGGAGAAGGATATTTTTGTGTTAAAGTGGTATTTTATTGACAGACCTTATCAGGCAATCTAAATTTCATAATCCAGCAATGTAAACAGACCTATCAAAGGGTATCTTGCTCAAGCTGATGCTTACCTACACATTTGAAGACCATTCTGTCAGTCTAAAAGGTCGGACGCGATTGCGTAGTGCGATGTGTGATAGGACCAGGAGATCCTCTTTCCACCTCCTCTGTTATAAAGCAGAGCGTCGGTGTGATTCAATAATGAAGGAGGTACTGTGTCTAACGGCCAAACCCTGTGAGAGCTGACAGATGTTCTGACTGAGGCTCTGTGGGCGGAAGAAAGCCTAAACCTTACTTGGACTGCGTATTCATTCCTGTCTGCGTGAATCACTGCCCCTCCCAGCATGGAAGGGCTCCGTGTAATCAGCTTGTCACCAAGTAGTTAGTTGGTCTCTGTGAGTGAGGGCACCATGTCGCAGGTGAAGCGTTCACATCACAAATATTGAATAACACTCAAGTTGGATGTCCGTCCATGTTGCCCCTAAGCACACTGTGTCTGGCAGTTTCCTCCACAATTCTTCGCAGGCCGGGCCTCCTGGCTGCCGTTCTAGCCCTGCTGCTGACTGTGGCAACTGCGCCCATCCTGCTTCGGGTCGGTAAGTGCTGATCCCTGGCTGCTACCATGCTTGGCTCCTGACATCCCTATTACTCTCAGTTCTGTGATGGCATCTCCTGCAGTCACCCTTGCTCCAGCATGTCCGAGCTTCCTAGTGATGCTGGTGCCCCTCTCCTCAGCACCCTCTTTGTACCTTTGAAAAATGGTGCCTTCTGTGCCCTCCTTAGAACACGGTGTGTGTATGGGGGGGTTTGAGGCCTTACATAGAATATCTACTCTTGTATGTTCACCTTGACAAGCCTTTTATGAGTTCTTCCATTCTCTGCCTCAGCAGTTCTGATATTTCAACTTCATTTAGTGTGGGCCATTGCTACCCAGGC